AACGAAGTAGGGAAGCAGATAGGACTGCGAATCAACCGGAAGAAGACTCAGTTCAAGAAAAACGCCTTTTGCGAGCATCAGGAAATGAATTAGAGGCTTTCCAAATGCGGAGACGTCTTCTTTCGTGTATTTCGGAGGCTCTATGAACATGGAGAGCGATCTGAAGAAAGAACTAAACAGGAGGCGAAGAGCAGCTTGGGCCGCCTTCGGGCCCCCAGAGGAAGCCACAGACCAGCTCAGGGACCCAGAGCTCCCAGCCCACCTGCTCAACTCAACCGTTCTCCCTGCGTTCTGTTACGCAGCAGAGACGTGGCCTGACACTGTAGCTACGTGGAAAGCACTCCGAACAACGCACAGAGCGCTGGAACGACGTCCTCTGAAGTTCAACCGACGCACCCAACATCTCGTCGGACTTCGCAGTTCGGGTATGAGATCAATGTCCCGTCTTCGCGATCCAGCGGAATACGCCCTAAGGCAAAACATCGCTGGGCTAGTCATATAATGGGAAGGACAGACGACAGATGGACACTAAGAACTCTGGAATGGATCCCTCGTGAAGTAAAACGTCCTCGATGGAGGCCACCGACAAGATGGGCTAACGTGTTCGTTGCACGGATAAACCAGCTGAATTCTCAGCTGGTAATGAGTAATAGACTTGAACTTCGCGAACGTCGCCGCCGCACTTCAATACCAACATCGTGGATGACGCTAGCGAGAGACAGGAACGAATGGAAACAGTACTGTGGTCTGCACGGCAAGTGAAGACAGGCCATCTAAGTATCTAAGTAAGTAAGTGTCACAAGCATTAAGATAAGTTGAAAGAAAAGTTTCTTTAATAAGTTTGAAGGTAGTAGCGTATTTTAGAGCGACGACTATTTTTTAATAGAAACAAAAGAAGCATGAAGTAAAACTAATTGTTGTAATCATTGGATGAGCTTCTGTAAACAGAATTCTCCTGCTCCTTAGAATACTCCCTACTTTCACCCTCTTTCAACTCTATGCTCTTCTTCGGAATCCAACCCTTTCCTTTCTTAAAACGAAAATACATTCCCAAAAAATTGAGTTTTTACCCGAATAAGTTTGAGGAATCTCGTCAACTCAAGTATTGTAGCTGCACGCGCTTGGTCTTCTCTATCTCGTCCACGACCGACATCTCGTCGTGCGCCTCTGCTGAAAGTGTTTCAATTAACTAACGATAAGAAGCGAAACGCCCTTTTCATCTCAACAGACTAATAAGAAAACGGGAGTACTACAGATGTAGCAATTTCCTAACAGATCATTCTTTGGATAAAGCGATTTTTGTAAATTCATAACCTACTTTATCTGATCAAAGAGCGGTCCGACATGTGCATTGAATGTATCACAGACTTTCCGCATTTGGCTGACATCTTTTCCTGGAGCTGAGCTCATTAGATACGCTGCCAACAGCTGTGCCATGGTCGTCGTTGTAGAAGGAAATCTGAAGTAATTGTAATGTTTGCGTAATAGAAAATCTGAGCAAATGGCTTACTTCACTTCAGTCGTAATGAAATCAAAATCTTCAGCATTGAGAGCTCTGGCGAAAGTCTGCAAGGAAAGGTGTTTTCCTATGAAGATGGTGACCGCAATCACAAAGTTCAGTTTAGATTTGCAAACAGAAACGTTTGAACAAACAATTGTAACCACTCGAATAACACCCGCTAACACGAAAGCACCCAGACTCGCACCTTTTTTTTAATTTAAACTTTAAGAAAATTTGCTTTATAGAGCAACGACAAAACTCATCTACCTGATTATGAATTAATCATAAAATTACAACAAATCAAACGTTTTTGAATTCAGTGGACAAGCACTTCCTCGCTTTCCAAATTTGATCTGCGACTGCCTATTTTGAGTCCTACTCGAACATAAGCATAATAATAAATAGCGTTTTCAAAGACGCA